GCAGTGCTCATTCACCAGCTCTAAACTGCCCTGAAAGGCTCCTTATAAAGTGAGACAGTAACTCGGGAAGCATGGGTAAGAAATGAATGGGAGGGGTAGAAAAAAATTAGGTGTAGGCTGTACCTCAGCATATTCCTCATACCAGTGTAGAAGCAACGTGTTTTGTATAGGTATGGATGGAAAATAATAAACAAGGATTGCTGTATTCCTGTGTACAGCAAGCAGTTATTTCTAGCCTCAGGTGTCCTTTTACTTCTTACTGATTCACAATGCATTTAAGCCAACACAGAATATGGCCTGAATTATTTTGCAGTGAGATGGGCATGGAAGATTTTTCTTCTGAATGACAAATCACATCAGTGTTTCCTACTCCAGGTTTTCAGTTGTGGCATGGTCCTTCCTATGCCATCTGAGTATTTTTTGGTGTTTGGAGCACCGACCTCAAGTTGTGCACCCTAAATACTTCTGATGAATTCTCCTCACCATCAGAAGGCTTTTCCACAGGAAAGCATTGGCAACGTCTTGAGAAACCGGGAGGGGAGCTTAGCACTGCACATACTGCGTGAAAATCCAAGGAGTGATGGCTGTGCTCTGCACTGAGGAAAGGGCACTGTAAAATAAACTAGGAGGAGGGAGGTCAAAGGAGTGGTGAGGAATTGGTTCAGTCACGGATAATTGCCCAGCAGGGCAGATCCTGTAGGAAATGGGGAAGAGAGGAGAAGTCAGCATTGCATCTTCAACTCAAACAAAGCAGGAGCCCCCTTGTCAGACAGTGAAGAGCAGCAGGGGAACAGGACAAGTAATCTTTGCCAGTAAGCAGACAGTTTGGTGCTACGTTGGAGGTTGATGCTATCACTACTGGACAGTATTTCTTGGAAGTGAAGCCACAGAAAGAATGGGGTGAGCTTAGGGGTACTGCTCTACTTAGCCAGGATTAGTTTGTTGTTTTTTTTTTTTTTGTAATCGCTTTCAGTTTGAATGGACTGTATAGTGAGAAAAAAGCAAAATGCTGAACAACAGGTTCTGCACACAAAGGCAGTTTTACCTCCCACAGCATTTAGTGCAGTAGGGAATAGCTTTGGCTCTACATCCTGCCTTTAAGCACACACTATAAACTTCTGGAATTATGATATATCAAATTACAGTTTCATCTTCTGCTTGAAACATCTTGAAATTTCTAGGACAGCAGTTGTTTAACATCCCATTCAGCCGCATCCTGCTTTGAAGAGATACACATCATGCTTCTTTTCGTGGAGATTTTGCAATTGTACTTTGTGCTTTTACCTTTTCCACAGAAAAGATGCTCAGGCTGGAATGTGTGCTTGGAAAGCAATAGAAAGGGAATGCTGCAAGCTATACAGTATTTAAGCAAAACCAGACCTCTAGGGTTTCTGCCCCAGTCAACACATGCTTTTATGAGCACATATCCATATGGAGTTGGGTAGTTTTGCAGAGGTCAGCGAGTCTTATCCTTGAAGTTACCCTTACATACCTACCTAGCTAGCTTGGTCTGTTTCTAATACCTTAAAGATGAAGGCTTCTCTGGACTTACATCTGCTGCAGTAGCTTCAGTGCCACCCTTGAGTCAGATCTGCTTTCACACTGCACACCTTCACTGCTGTGTTGCTCCTTTTAGCTTAATTTTAACCTGGTCCATCACTGGCAGGGCTGAACCTGCCGAACCTTAATTAATAGCTCCCCGTAGAGCAACTGATCTGTTGCTAAAACAGATCTTGTAATCTGTGGGTTTTCAGGGCTATTTCATAGTGTGGTTAATCATGCTCAAGCTAGGCTCAGGAGGGTTTGTTCTGAGTTGTGGGTTTGTTCTGAAGCTCTGACTTCAAGCTAAGTGAAAAATGTACCCTGCCTTCATGCAGGTAAAGGGGGAAAGTGGTGTGCTGCAGTTCCTACGGAGCATTTTATTTATTACCCAGCCAAAATATAGGGCTTCCTAACTCCATCACATGCTAGCAATAAATATGTGACTTCAGATAGGTATTTTCTGTGAAAATGGAAAACTGCGTGCATCTGAGCAGTTCAGTTGTTGCCTATGTGTGTTGATACGGATGAGCGAGCTGTCAGCTGCTTTGTGACACATTCTGCTTAGGCTGTATCTCCTGCCTGATCCCAGTTAATGTGAAACCAGAAAAAGCAGAGACAAAATGGAGAGGTCAGTGCCAGGAGTCTCCTGTCAAAGACACCCTCGTCTTCTGTGCCTGGCCTAATAAGCAGCCTATTAATCAGTGCATATTTAGAATGAAGTAGATTCAGTTTTGCCTCCCTACTAACGTGCAGGTCTTTCCTTTCTCCCAAAGCACACTAAACCTCAGATAAATCATCCTGAGTCAGTGTTCAAGGCTCAGACAAACAGACTTCCCTCCTTCTGCCTCGTCTCAGCCTCACACGCAGACATACAGCCTCAGTGGGGCAGCAAGACCTGTGTGGTGTCCCCTGTGTCCCTCAGGGGATGTGGTGGCTTCCCCAGGCCCCCGGCAGGCAATGCTGTGCCCACCTCAGGCAGCTCTGCCCTGTTGCATTGCCTGGATGCGCTGTGAGCCATCAGCCTTGCTGTGTTGTGATAGCCCACGGGCTATCCAGACATGCGCTCTGACTAGGAAAACATGATGGGCATATGTTAGTGTGTCTCACCACTCCTCTGCCTCTTCACCAAAGGATACGAGCTATTAGCCAGAGCCTCATGTTGGAGCCCTCCTTCTAGCCCCCAGGCTTCTGTTTCTCATTGAGCCAAATAGCTGCAAAAGGGAACTAAAAGCAAAATCATTTACCAGCATCCCTGTAATTCACACCGTGGTGACATCTGTTTTATTTTGCTCCAAGTGAAAGCCTGATGCTGTTCTTGTGGCAAGGTGAATCAGATTCATCCCCCTCTCTGGGTGAATTGCTGTCAGATGAAATTTGGAAGACTACTCCTGTGAGAGACCATGGCCAAACCCCTAAAAACTGTTTTTAGAAGTAGTTAGTGCCTAAAACCTTTTGGTCTCAAGTGACACTTGGGGTGCACTCAGAGCCCTTCACATCCAGCCAAGCAGAGGGCTTTTTTTCCAGGAGGGGCCGAGCCTTTTGCAGGATCTGCCTCTGCACATAACAGATGGTAATGGTCTGCCACCCTGTCCCACCTACCCTCATGTACGCAGCTGCTGTCCCTGTTTGGTTGCCTCTCTCTAACATCACGGATGAGAGTCACCCTTAGCACTACAGTTTGTTGGTCTGTCGTTGTTGCCATTGTTAGCTGTGCTGGCATTGACTTCCAGTGGCCGTTGCAAAAGGTCTAAAAAAATGTGCTTGCTGGTATTTAAAGGCTTCATTTGTTCTGGCCTGGGCTCATTTGCTGGGCTGCAGCTTGACTAGAAGTACAAGTGTGATGTGTGTCATGGGGTGGGCAGGGCAGGTCTGAGGCCATCAGGTGCAAAGGGCTGGTAGAGCTCCCTGTCTGTCTGACTTGGCTCTGCTCTCCTTTTCTTGCATAGAGTTATCTGATGCATTGGAATAAAAACTCTGTAGACCAGGTTTTTGAAGGTGGACAGCATGATAGACCAACCCTTCTCCATGTTAAAGCTAGCATTTACAGGTTAATTGCAGGTTGCTGTGTTCTGGTTTCTAGCAAAGACTGCTGCACTCAGAAATCAATGGGAGAAAATGTGGTAGTTTGCAAAGTCAGCAAAGATTGCAGAAAAATAGACTCCCATGAATGAAACTGGCCAATAAGTTGTTACTTATAAATCCAAAAAACAAATAATCAATGGATTTTTATTTTATTTTTTTAGCTTTCATTGAAGCACAGAGTTGGCAGACATGTTGAAGCTATTTGCAAGCAAGTTTCAATGAATGTAGTGTTAGAGATTCCTGTAAATGATTGTATCTTGTTTTTAAAATAAAATCTGCATGATCATTCTGCATCCCTTCCCTGCTGGCATCAGTTTTGTTCCTGCAGCCAAGAGAGCCAGTTAATAGTTTCATTCAAACTTTCTGGCTCTGGGTTTTGTTTTTGGTTTCTCCCATCCCTTCTATTCCTGCTGTCTCCTAGGGGAGAACAGGCAGGAGTTGTCGGCCACAAAACTCTTATTTTTTCTGTAACCCAGCCATCGCTCTGATTGTACTAAACTGAGCAGGGAAATGTAACCAGTTGTTTTTCTTTTTTATGTTGTGTGTGTCTGTTCTTTCTCCCAACAAACCATATGCTCAACTTCCCTACTGCTGCCATCAGGCCAGTGACGTACTTCTTCTCCATTGCTTTACCTGAGGCCCTGACTTGGCAACTCACATGGCAGATGCTTTCCATATGGCATAGGCTTTATCAGCCATGGTAAATTTTCAGCTATTGCAGTGCTTTGATGCACTGTGCTGGTATTATAAAGCAGAGGGGCGTGCGTGAGCGCTGCTCCTGACGCAGGCACAGTGACGAACCCTGCTGCCAGTCCGGCGTTCTTGCTGCTGTCTCACCCTTCACCAGTGCTGGAGTAAGAGTATAAGTGACAAACATTTTAGAAAAATGCTGTACTGAACAGAGACAAGACTAATGTAGCTCTGTGGCATCCACTAAGCTTGGACGTACTTCGTGCAGATATTTTGTCCTCACTGGTGCTTTACTGCTGCAGCCGCTCTACAGGGCAGTTACAAAGGACTAGGGGGGGCATAGCATCGCTCAGCCCCAGCACAGTAGGGAACTAGGGCATCAGAGAGCTTTTTTGTGCTATGATTAAACAAAAACAAGACCACACCTCCCCTTGAGATGGTCCAAGGAGAGGCTGGCTAATTAATGCTTGTTCTTAGGCTGTAGGAGCCAGTGCCAATGGAGTGAGAGGAAAGCAAAGCTAGCCCAGTTGCAGCCTGAAGCTCTGGTCCTTCACTGGCATACCCGCATACACCGAGACCTGAGCAAAGGGAAGCAGGCACAAGCTCTGGAAGCTTTAGGGTGCATATGGCCTCTGCGGATCAAACCTAAGTGTGCTAACGCAGCATGGCAATTTCTGCATTTGCAGGCTCGCAGAGACGGAGGCTTATTCCAGCTCTATCCCTTGACACCTCTTCCCCTGCAAGGAAGCCTGCCAACAGCCCCGGGGTCCGCTGGGTGGATGGGCCCCTGCGAAGTGGACAGAGGGGGCTGGGGGAGCCCTTTGAGATCAAAGTCTATGAAATAGATGATGTGGAGAGACTCCAGCGGCGACGAGGAGGGGACAGCAAGGTGAGTGCAACCCCTGCCATCTGTCTGCCTCCTCTCGGAGGGAGGAATTCAGATCATGCAGTCAGCAGTGTGTAATATTATCTATGGTTAATTCAATTGGCAGAAAACCCCATATCTCATTTAAGAGCAGTTGTAACTCAAGTTACATCTTCTTCAGTAGCAGCTAACAGACATTGGTCCCTTGTATTTTTGTCCCTTGGTAATAGTCTTGGTGGCTCCTGTGTTCCAGCACCTCCTCCCGTCTGTCTGTCCACACAGCAGTGGTGCCTCAAGTGCTTTGATGAGATTGTTTCCAGAATAACTTATTTCTTCCCACTAACAAAGTTTCTGTTCCCAACCTCACCCATCAAAACTTAAAAGTAGGCCAGAGAATTGTACAGGTCAGCTCTTGAGAGGTATGACTGGGAAGAGTATCTGAAGTTGGTGGTTTTACAATAACCACGTATGTAGCCTTTTTTATTATTTTAAGGCATTTTTTCCTCCTAGACTCCCATCATTTGGTTAGGCTATTAATGATGTTGCTGTCTGATTCGGTTTTACATGGGGAAAAATATCACTTTTTGGGGTGGCGTTTCCATCCTCACACAGGTTTGGAGGAGGCTAGTTCTGGTTCTGGGACTGCTCCCACCCCAGTAAGGATAGCACGGCCCTCATCATGAGTTCCTTACTGTACATCTTGATGGGTGCCACCACATAGAGGTCCAGTGAGGTCAGACAGGCTGCCTCTGGACAGCACTGCAGCCTGTGCTGTTACTGTGCCCCTTATCTTTACAGAAAATACATCTTCATTATTAATGACTGTGAATTGCTAGAACTTTTCACAACAACATCCTTGTTTTGCTTCAGAATGTTTTAAATTTGATATTGCTACCAGTTTCCTTATTTAATGATGTGACTACTGCATTTCTCATGTGCCAAGCACAGAGATATACTTAGCATTTTAATACACCAAGCTTTGCCTCCTTCTCCCAAGAGCATAGTTGTTTCTTAGCTAAACTTGTGGTGACAAAATCCAGAAATGTTTTGCTACAATTAATCTGATTTCAAGATGCCATCTGTTATTAATTATTATGGTTTATTATTAACTATCATTGCAAAGTCTTCAAAGCTCACTGATGGAAAACATCAAAATCTAACAAAAGCAATAAAAATAAAACAGATGATAGATGATCTCGTGTGGTAATTCGTATGCTTGCAGAGTAAATGGCTCATTGTTAGTATTATTGATTGGAAGATCATTTAGCTGAATGGATCTGGGTGTTTCTTCATCTCTTCACCTATTCCTTCCCTGCTCATTTTTCCTGGTTGGCAGGAAGTCATATGTTTCAATGCCAAGCTGAAAATCCTGGAGCATCGCCAGCAGAGAATCGCTGAGGTCAAGGCCAAATACGAGTGGTTAATGAGAGAACTGGAGGTGACGAAACAGTACCTGATGCTGGATCCTAATAAATGGCTCAGTGAATGTAAGGACATTGTTTTATTGCCTGAACTCATAGGTGTCTTTGGTTTATTTCACTGTGGGGAGGAAGGGGAGCAGAAAGGTTTGCAGAGAATGAGATGTGAGCTACTGTGTTTGTAAACTAGAATGAACTGACATATGACCTAAAGGCAAGATTTAGCTTGACTGTATTTCTAGAACTAGTCCCTATAATTCTTATTAAATGTCGACAGTAGAACTGAACAATCCTTTTTGCCTGAGAGCTGAATGTTAAAATGGTACAGCATTGTAGTGGTGAATGTTGCCATTGGTAGATAAACGTTCACACTTTTCAGTCCACATCTACTGAAAATGAGATTTTTTCTTTTGGCCTCATATCACTCAGACATATGAGCAATTTTATAAATCTGCTCTTCTACCACAGAATAATACCATGAAGCAAACTTGTCCCTTGGCACTAGTGGGCTTACATGAAGGATGAATTTGGCCCGTTCTTCATTACAATATATGTGTAAAGTTTAGTTAGCTTAAAGGGCATTTACATTCAAATGCAGAAGGACCTCGAGGGAAAAAGATATTCTAGTTCCTTGTGGGAGCAAAGGTTCACCTGAAGCCTATTTGTGTTTTGTGCTGGCTGGTTCCCTCACAGTCAGCCATGCGGTTGCTGGAGGAATAGTCCTGGTGGCTTTGCTGAAGGAAAGATGGAGTATGGTGAAACTCACCTGCAGAGGATGGCAGAGCATATTGCTCAAGAAACCATCCAATGCGATCATAACAATATTTTTCACTATCAGTAAGCTGACGAGCTATTTTAATAGCCATTATATAGAAAAGGCAAATTTTAATGGCAATAGGAAGCTAAAGATAATGCTGTATACAGTACCAATGGGTTTGAAAGCTTGAATTAGATTTGTCTCTCCCAGTAATGAGTATTGGTTTTTTTCTACTTTTTCTACCTGTGTGTTTTCTTTCCTACAGTTGATTTGGAGCAGGTATTTGAGCTGGATTCTCTGGAATACCTGGAGGCCCTGGAATGTGTGACTGAACGTTTGGAAAATCGTGTCAACTTCTGCAAGGCCCATCTCATGATGATCACCTGTTTTGACATCACCTCTAGACGCAGATAAGGAGCGAACCTCAACAGAATTTCAATGGGCATCTCTGCCATCCTCCTTTTCCCTTCCGAATAGCATCCCAAAGACAACAGAATGAGGATGAAGGTTGGAGTCAAGTCTCAACTGTGTGTATGAGAGATTTGCTTAACTATACGGAAGAGTAGTATAAAAAAAAAAAACAGGACAAGCATGAAAAATGGAGATATAAGGATGTTGATTCTGTTAGCCTAAAAGAGCACTTTGAGGAACCTTTAAGGACATGTCTGTAAATAAGAACTGCTGGCAGAAGAGACTTCTTTCCCTGCGTTAGCTGAGGGAGGAGGGAAGGTGGTTGTAGGACTTCCACAGAGAGGTTCATTAAAAGAAAACCTATCCAGAAAGACTGTTTAAGTGCCTTGCAAATCTTTATTATCCAAACATTTATGTTCATACTTTCTTGTGTACAGATGGTGCTAGTCAAGAAAAGAAAAAGGAAAAAAAAACAAACACACTTTTGAAATGTATTTACAGCTTGTTTTTCTCTTGGTGTTTTCTCCTATTTCAGACTTGCTGTTTCTAAGTAACTTGTGTTTGTAGAGATATTTCCTAATCAGTACAACATATGAATAAATGTTAACTGTCTTTTATTGTTACCAGAGTAAGGCCACTCAAAGAGAAATTCAGCTTTTCCAGATAACACACAAATATTTCTAGCAGTAAGCAAGGTTTGCTTATGTGTTCTTTTATACTACCTTCCACCTTAGAGGACACAGTAATTTTCCCAACCTATAGATTCTGCAACATGTGAGAGAGAAGAGGTGACGTTACGGTGAAGTTAATATCTTTTCCATTTGTTTCAATCCCCATAGCTTGTTTTCTTGTTCATGTATTTTAGCTTTGTACTAGCTAGAACTATGGATGAGGAGGCCTAGCTCTCCTAGCTCCTAACCCTCTTTTCTGGGACTAGTAACTCACTGGAAACTTACCATTTAGGGTGATTGTTCCTGTACTTATCAGTCCAAAATATCAGTTCAGTTTATTCTGTCCTCCTTTCTAAAACTGATAAAATTTAGCTTTGCCTCTTTTTGATACACACAACTGCAAAGCATGTTTTGGCAGCTTTGGGTCCCTGGCCTGGTCTGTCTGTAGTCACAGACATACCTGAGAAGTGCAGGCTCTGTTCAGCTCAGCTGGTTCAGAAATAAAGAGGAGTCCTCAGTGAGCAAATATAACACTTCAGGCATGTTATAGAAGTGCTATCTCAGTTCCATTCCAACCCTCTTTCCATGGGCAAGGACATCTCCCACTAGACCATGTTGATTGTGGCATTTTCCTAATCAACACCTCCCTTATTGGAGCAGTGACAAAATTCACATTGACATCAAAAGGATGAGGGTCTGGGCCTCAGTGCATATCCAAATGTTGTACTTGTTTGCGTCTTTATCTATAAACGGTATGTGGGAAGGAACATCCTTTGTGTTACTTGAAGAAGTGTGTGAGATTTGCATTTTAATTACGAATGAGCATAAAGAATTGTTTTGTTGTATGGGTTTCTTCTTCTTTATATTAAAATAAGCCCATTCACAAAAATTCTTCTAGCATACACTTGCATGACCTTCCTGTTGCTTATGAGAAAATAAGAGCAGCATTTAACATACTCAGTATGCATCAATTCATGAATTTATTGTTCTTAAATGCAGCTCCTCCTTTGCCTGCATCAGCACATTAATGCCATCTTACAATACGCCAAGCACTAACTCCCAGTGGAAACACTTTGCAAAAATACTGATAGATTTATATAAGGGTTACCCGAAAAAAAACACGTACCTTGTATGTTTGCCCTTTTTATCAGGATGGACCAAAATTTATTTGTGAAGCCAAATGGATTACACCAAGGATGCATTTGACACACTGAAAATTAGGTAGTGAAAGAGCAAAATCACAGTCCTTACAAATATTTTATCTATGAGGACTTAATTATAATGACCATTAACACTCATAGAATGGCTCAGGTTGGAAGGGACCTTAAAGTTCCAACCCCCTCTGCCACATAGCTCCTATCACATATTAGTATTCATATACTAAAAACAATAGTCATCTTTTTTTTTTTTTTTTTCTGTCAGTGCATTTCAAAATTTGCCACTGTAATTTTGGGAATTGTGGTGGCTTAATGCATAAAAGGGAATGTAAATTTGCAGAGATTTGACATCTGTGGAACATTTTCTGTTAAAATAGCTTTTTACTTTAAAGTTTATATTATTATACTTCAAATATCTTCAAAACAGATAATTAAAAGCATCATGACCTTAATAAAATTGCTTTTAGTCTATAGTAGCCAGCATTTTACAGAAGACTCATACACTTCTGCAAGTCATCCAGGAAATCCCATTATTTTAGCAATGTAATAACCAGTGTAATGCTGCTTTTATCCTGTATTTTTTAAAAGGCATCGTTACCCAAAAGACATACCAGCGATGTGAATGGAATCCTTAATTGTTTGCATATTCAGAAATCAATCTCATTTCCCTGGAACAGCTTCAGTAGGAAACAGCGGTGTTAACGCAATTAGGCCTGAAGGTTAAACCTTTGTTTGCGTGTGCAGCAGAGGATCACGGTTCTTTATTGTCAGGTTCTGCAGTGAGTGCAGCGCACCAGCCATTAGCTTCCATTAGAGGCAAGAGTTTCAGGCAAGGGCAGGTGGGGTAGTTTGGGCCTAATTCTGAAAACTTTTCATCTTGACGTGCTTGAATATTATTTCTACGAGGGACAGGACTTGTTCTATGACCCCAAATTCAGGTGCAACCTTAGTCTTGGGAGTTTGGCTGTGATCTGAGTCCAGCCATCCCTCTGGTCCCTGTGAGCATCGGCAGCGGGCAGAAAGCCTGGGTCATGCACAGCCAGCTCGGGTGCTCTGGGTCCCTTCGTTTTGTAGAGCATGTGGGAGAGCCCTAATTCCTGGAGTATTTGTCACAGCTGGCTTCGCTCCCACTGTTCATGCCTTGTATCTGCTTCAGAATGATTTCTTGTCAATTCATTCAGATCTGAGTAATCAGAGGTACTATTTTGCAGAAGGCAGGCAAGCAAACTGATACCCAAGCTGTCCTTTCTTAGTTCTATCCCAATTCTGTTCTCATCTTGTGTGTTGCTATAACTGTGTGTAACTCTGTGTGGTGAAGCACAACAGCATCAGGAGTTATGAGCTATAGCAGAGTAAACCCAGTTGTGAAGAAAAGGAAGAGTCACCTGCCACTTGTTTGGTATTTATTGTGCTGCCAGCTGTACGGTTGAAGAATGAGCTCCTCATTTATTTGATACCCTGACGCAGCCCTGATTTTGCCTAAAGGCCACGCACAGGTTTATCACTGACCATTCGCAGGCTTCAATCCATAGTCTGGGAAGACTCCCAGTATCACACCATGCAACATCTGAAACTTGCAGCTACATAAAATACTTACTAGTAAAGAGCAACGTCATGCTCCTCTGACACAAAGCAAGCTAAAAGTGAAAACTGCAGATAATGTCTAGGTTTTTCTTTCTTTCCCTAAACATGGGAATTATAGAGGCAGAAAACCTGGAGTAATGCTGGGATTAATACACATCAAAATGGACTTGGTCCTTTAAAAAATACTTTTCTTTATCATTTATCTCAATAGTATGGTTTGTCTTAAAATAGCCACTATTATCTGCACTGTGGAATTCAAATTTTATGACAGCTGAAGGAAGTGTACTTTTTGACAAACATTGTCTTTTACAATTTTTTTTTTTTTTTTGAGCCAACAACCATCAAAACTGAACTGAGGGTAGTATATACATACAGACAAATGCATATGTATGTAGCCTGAGGGAGATACCCCCCACATACATTATTTTGGAGAGGTTGCATAGCTATTCACAAATGGCAAAAGCCCCACTCCCTCCCTCTTCCGTGTAGTGCCCGTAAAACCTTTCTCCTGTCACTCAACAAGATGAAGCTGACTTATGCCACACTACAGGAAAAAGGCTTGAAAGACTTCTGAAGGCTTCCTTTAAAGGTCCTTTATTCCCCCTGTTCTGCATCCTGTAGGCCAAGTTGCTGCAGTTCCCATGTTGAGGCTGTTACTGAAATGTTCAAGTCTGTAAAAGTAATCCAGATGAACTACTCTGTAGTTCAGGGTGTCATGAATTGAAGGCAAGATAGCTCATGATCATTGCTGTTAAACACAACAATTTGAACTTATGCATGATGTGTACACCCTAGTCACGTCAATTGAAAGCCTGGACGATTAACTCCATGGAAGATAAAGCTTCCTGTCAAGTCCTCACAGATTTATAAATTGTAACCTGAAGTTTTTGTGTTGCAGATGACTATCCAAAGCAAATACTCTCATAAATGGGGGGTTTACTGAACCTCTGGTGCCTGTTCATATGGGCGGGATGGTCACACAGCATCAGGGATGCAGACATAGAGCAGTTGTACCACTGCATGCTGATGGGAGTAAATGATGGCCACACAGAGAGGTGCTATTTCTCACATCCACAGGTGGGTGACATGTCTTGCTTAATCCCGCTGTCATCATGGTCGTTGTTTTGTTACCCCATAGGCTTCTGCATTGCTGACACCCAGCAGTTTTTGGAGACACAAGGCTGGATGTTGCTAGCTATTGCAAGACTTGAAATAGGTTTCCAAATAGCTATGGCAAACAAAACTGTGAATGATCTGTCAATCCAAAGTTAATTATCTCTATCTCTTGCATTTATTGTGCGCTCATCACAGGTTATCTGAGCTTCCATACCTGCTCTTGGAAATAATAAACCATTTTACTATTGGCTTTATCTTTTCTTCTTTCTCCTTCTCAAGCAAACTTTTTTTTTTTTTTTTTTTAAAAAAAAGGAAAAAAATTTAGTTTCCCTTGAAAATGTAGCACCCTTATCTTGACCCCTTTGAAGTCAATATGGATTTTGCTACCAGTTTCACTGGCAGCAGACTGAGGCTCACTTATGCAACATTTTGAACACAAAGGGCATGATTATTCATCAAAGAATGGAGGTGCTGGCAGTGAAATAGTAACAGTCATCAATAATATTTCAAACTATCTTCAAAACTCTCTCAGACACGAAAAAATATACAACCCAAACCTTCTTACTTTGAGTGGTCCTACTTAAATATTGAGCAAACTTTATAATAATGGTTAAAAATGGTGCTTGAGGCAGTTTCAGCTATATTACATATTCTCTATATACTATAGATATGGATTGTATTCACCCTCTCTATTGTATATGTATGCGTGTGAATATTTACATCTAGCACACATACATATATGTTTTATGTATGCATAGATACTAACTTTTCTGTTTGACTTCTTTCTCTCCCATAGCTGAAACTGCTGGTTACTAACATCCACATCATATTCTATGTATGAAGGATATAATTTATTTGTAAACTCAGGATGTTCTTGTTTTATAGAGTTGCTTGTATTTTATAATTTATTTACACATCATGGTTGGAAATGCTTATCTAAGTGCTATGCATTGAAGTGTATGTTTGCTAAATCCATTTCACTCTGTCCGTGGCTATGTTCTTTCTCGTTATAACAATGGTATAAGATAGGGCTAAGGAGGAGACAAAATGATGGATACATATCTTGTGCTGGTCCCACCAATGGGTGATTCCAGAAGAGGATGTATCAGTAGTAGATATATATATATTTTATCAACTAAATTTTATGGGGAAAAAAAAAAAGAAAGTAGAAAGAACAGCATGAGGACAAGTTCAAAATGTGGAAAGTCACAGCCATTTCCAAGTTGGTCAACAAATGCATTGAGCCTTTTGCCATTAAAATTGTAAAGTTTATTGTTTGCTGGCTTAAAAAATATCCCTTTTGTGGTATCTGAGGTGTGAAACATTGTCAAAAATATGATGTCTGGAAAAAAAATCAAACTATAGTGGCATTAAATGTTTACTTTTATCTTACCGATATATCTGCCTCCACCTCCTGACTATTTCACTTTGGATGAGAACATTTGTCAGATGGCAGAGAAGATGTGTGTGACCAAACACAAGATGAGATGTGCTGTTCATGAGAGTGAGCAAGATCAAACCTGAAACTAAAACACCCAAAGGGATTTCTACCATGCAAGCATTGCTGAGAAGCAAATTCACCAGAAAACAATAAGGAATCGCAGGGTTTGATAACAATGGCAGAAACACTGCAACCAAGCACGGCACCATTATCCTCTCCCCTGCTGCTGTCCAGAAACAGAAAGCAAGCACAGTCACCAGGCCCAAACTGGTTGTGTTGGTACATAAGCTGGTTATGGTTACATGCCTCTTCATATTAGCAGTGGTTGCTCAGTTGGCATTTGTAAGCAAGGGAACAAAATTGAGACCAAACAAATGATAACAATGTGTTTATTTATCATCTCTCACTACTGCATCAGATTTCCCTTGCCCACTGTGCAGGTATTTTATGCAACGTGAAAGTAATAAAAAGAGTTTACTTCCTTTCCTCCAGACACATTACATATAGCTCAGGTTCAGCTGCCCCCTGAGCTTCTGCTAAGGTGTCTGCAATTTCTGCTTGGCTTTTGCTCACGTTTGTGGCATTCCCCATTGATAATCAAGAGTGCCTTGCTTGCAGGGCAAGACGTGAATTAGCTCTCTGGGCAAATCTCAAATGCCCATTAACCGTTGGGTAAGTCCAGTAAGGACACTGTGCTCTTTCCATTGGAAGAAAACAAAAAACCCAATTTCTTGTGGAGAAGACAAAAAATGAAGCAATTTAAGATCTCCTTTAAGACACATGGTATGCTGGCAGATGATTCTGTCACATGGCGTGCTTTAGGAAGGACATGTTAGCACACTACAAGCCTAAATATTTGGTTGATACTTTGGTGTGCGTTTAAATAGTCCTTCCTTCTATGTTCCTGTGTCAGCCCAGTGTCAGAGCCAACAGTCACAGTGGCAGGGGATGCCATCACCTACAGTGACCATCACTTCTGAACAAAAAAGCTCTCAAGGTGGCTGCAGAAGTGATGTCTGGCACACAGTGAGATGATGTGTGGCAGAGAGAGGCCTCAGGTTCTCCCCTGCCAGCAGCAGACCCTCTGACTCCAGTACAACTTTAGCTGTTGCCCCTGGGCCAATGAATTTACATGCTGGTGCCTCTCCACAGTAGCTGCAAATGAAGATAAACGGCTATTTCTTTCATCTGTGGGCTGTTCAGAATAGCTCTGATTTGCTCTAAAGAGCTAAAAGGCTTATTGCCTATTTTTGAGGTAATTTATCTTCATTGCTGTTATCATGCAGCCACATCAGTATTAAAAAGCCTGAAGTGCCTTAAAGTGACAAAACCAGAGAAAAATGGGTTAGAGCAAGACCTACTCTTTGTCTGAGGCAGAACTGGTGGCGAGGAGCTCTATACAAGCTGAAAACAAAATCAGATCACTGTTGGTCAGTTCTGAAGCCTTAGGGAGCTCAGTGCTAAACACCTCTGGTTTGGGGCAAGACTGACAGGAAAGGTTTCAGGCATGAGGTGAGAGCCGATGTACACACCTGGCAAAAGGCTGGTGACCCGGTGTGGCATGGCTGAAATGGCTGGTACCTCTTGTAAGCTAATGTCTTTTCCCAGCCATGCCCAAGTCTTACCTTGTCTTTGAAGCTAGTAACTTGCCAGGCTGAAGATACATTGCAGAAGAGGGTTTAGCCTGTAAACCTGATGGGGATCCTGAGTAAGCTGCCCAGCTCCTGGAAAACCTGGGGAGAGGAGCCAGTTGCTGAAGCTGCTTCTTCTCCCACACCTGCCACAACACAATGGGGCCCTGGGCTCTCACCTCATTTTGATCAGCAGCTCTGGCTGCCATTGAGCCACTGAGAAGTTAGATGAGGGAGGGGAAAAAAAAAACAACAACAACAAAAAAAAACCAACAACTCGCTCTCTCTCAGACAAGCACAAAATTAATATTTAGTTCCTCTAGTAAAAGGCCATCTGTGAGTGGATTTTATGTTTCATGGTGTCTGTTAGTGTTCATGACAATTGCCAATCTGGCAGTTTTGGAGGCTGACATCTGCTATTTAACCACCAAGCAACACTATAGTGGGTACGACCATGCAAATGCTCTATGGTGCCCAAAGGCCCATCTCAAAATCTTTAACAGCAAATAGATAGCTTGGAGGTCCAGTCTGTTCTCCCTTCAAGAACAACCCCAGCAAGTGCTGACTTGGGAACAGCCCTAAGTGGCTGAAATGTCCATCCCCAGTGGTCGCTTGTCAAGGGAAAATATTTGCTTTCCATTTCACGTACATTTACATGTGGCTCTTCTACGGAACCTTATTGCATGGGTTTGGCACCCATGTTTTGCATCAGATTGTGGATGGCATGCCAGCCAACTGGCAGCCAAAAGTATGCAGCTGTGTGCGTTTGGCACACATCCATATTCCCATTTCTAGCTCCTGGCTAGCCATGGACAGCCAGACGTGTGGGTGTGGTGTGCAGGACTCCCGGGCATGCTGCAAAGAGAAAATCTCACACCTCTACACATGGAGGACCTCTCACTCACTTTAAGCGATCAAGAGCTTCCCCTGTCTTGTCCCTGCTCAGCTTCATTCTCTGAATGACTTGAAACCAGAAAATCGGGGGAAAAAAGCTGCCATTTGTCTAAAAGAGCACGGAAGCCATGCTGTGCACTGGGCTGTGCTCCACAGGTTCCTTCACACCAGTGCCTTCAGCATCCCTGTGCTGCCCAACACAGTGCTGTGCAAGCTGCCCCTTGGTGCTTGCTTAAAACAAGAGCATGGCGTAGCAGTGCTTTTACCCACCTTGCCCTTCAGCACCCTGTGGCCCAACTCATGCCTGTCTCTGTGCTCTTAGCTGGGTGTCCCTGGACTCAAGTGTGTCTGAGCAGCTGCAGGAAGATTCACAGCCCTGTTTTCACTAATCATCTCCCAAACCATGCTTGAAGGAAACTCCACAATACCCAGCAAGCTGCACCTCAGGAGCCAAAGAAAACACTGTGAACATCATTTTCTCCTAATTTCCAAGGACAATGAAAAGCATCGCAATTAGGTGACTAAAGCGAACACTAAGAGTTCAGCTACTAACCCTGCCATTGGTTACTCATGCTGTCCTGGGGGGCTTGGGCTCTTGCCTGCCATGAGTTTAAAGAGGCTCAGAGAACATTTCTGAAGGTTATATGTAAAGCCATTAAGTGCTGTGAAATCCACAGAAAAGCTTCTGGAAAGCATCTAAGCCCGAGCATTGCATACTTTGCAGCCATCGGCCTCTATTCTTTCTGCTGACTGGGCCAGAACAATGGACGCACCAATCCTAGTCCTATTTACTTGAAAATTTGCATTGCAGTGGCATAAAGTGTTCTGCGGAGTGGGTTACTCACAGGAACAAACACTATGTGTGTACTAAATAAAAGCCTAGCCTAGCAAGAGGGCTTCTCACCTGAAGACCTGTTGTCCCACCACCCAGAGGCCAGGGCTGATGGAGAGGCAGGACCCAGGGGAGGCCAGGGGCAGCAGGGCCAGTCCCCATCCTTGGGACAAGTGACACTCGCAGCTTGCCAGTTCTCCCACGGCAGGGAGGTGCCAGGTGAGCAACGTCAAAACTAGCTGTGAAGATTAGTTGTTTTTTCTTCCTTCCTCAAACAGGAACCTTGAGTAAAATTGGCCCTCACGCTAAGCCATTTCGATCTCTTCACAAGCTGGCACCATAAAGTGTGGAGGCTGTTACACTGCCTTATCTTGCTGGGCTTGTAAACCTTTGAGCTTTGAATTGCCTCTATGACCCTAGAAATTCTTCCCTGGACAAGGCAGAGGAGACCTTGCTCTACTTTTTTTTTTTTTTTTTTTCAAAGCGCATACATGTAGTAACTTATAATTGAAACCAAAATAAAGTCTTTCAGATGGGCAAGCCATAAACCAGCGTCTCTAAGAAATCATACACCTGACCACATCCTGCAGGCTTTCCTCAGATGCGAGGCAGCACAGGCTGGTGAGGAGCTGGCCCAGTAGTTGATGTTTGCTTCTTGCATAAGCTTTTGCTATAAGACAATTCAGGTAAATTTGGGGCTGGATGAACCCTGAGGCAGAGGCTGACAGCAGTGCTCTATCCAGCTGGCTGAGTGCATCAGCCAGCTTTGGGCCCTGTGATGGAGGCACCTCTTGTAGGGTCAGAGCAAGGCCTCAGACAGCCACGTGCCCTGAGCTGCTGCCCTGGCTGGTGCACTCCACACGTGACGGTGGCAGTGAGATGAGGGAGTCTGTGGTGCCCAGCAGGACATGGAGACTGATTTCTGGGGAAGAATAAGTGTCATTTGCCATTTCCTTCCCCCACCAACAAATCTGTGCCTGGGACCATCTGCAGACCTGAGGCAATTTGGGGTTTCCACCATTTCAATTTGGCAGGCTGCTTAAGGTTTCCCAGAGGAGTTGCAGATGGCACAGGGAAGCCATGTCTAATGGCAGGTGGCTCTGCAGAGCGATGGGCACAGAGGAACGGCCATGGTGCAAAGCCAATGCAGTAGCTGAGGGCTTGTCCTGCCAAACTTGTTCTCCACCATTTGCCAAGAGTGGAGCAGCAAGCAAAACATTTCCGTGCCACCTCAAAAATGGTTACTTACTGCCTCTGAATTTATTTTTTAAATTTATTTATTTATTTACTCTCTGCTCCCCTCCACACATACACACAGACAGAGGCTGAACATGTGACATCTTTGTACAAGGCTAAAACCTCAGCGGCTCTAAGGCTGATGGCCCCAATCAGCATGTGCTTCATGGTCAAAGTGCAGCCAGCAAGGCACTGCTTTCTCCCAGGCACAGAGCTGGGACTTGGGAAGCTCTGGGCTGCTCCCAAAAAGTTGGCTGCAGCACAACAGGGAAGGCCTTGTGACACCTTTTCTCTGGACTGTGAGAAATGCAGTATGCTCTACAGCTGGCTTTGGCACCTTGCTCTATTCCCTACACGTAAGGAG